ATGTCTCCTACTTCACTGTGAAGACCATTCTTAGTGTTTATGCACTGGTGTCTTCAAGGTTCAACATCACGTTGGCCACCAAAACAATGAAAAGCATCTCTTTTTATCTGACAGGCTCATATTTATAATACAACTGATATAAACAGCTTATATGTGCCGAAAGAAAGGTGGCAGCACTTTATGACTGTACAGCATAATTTTGCTTACATGCTTTTTTATGATCACAAAGGAAGTAGGAAAGAAACAAGTTTCTGCAAAACAAGTGTCGAGGCAGGCAAAAAGTGTCAAAACAACAGCGCAAAAGAGCATAAAAATACAACAATTCTTAAGGATTTCACTCTGGTGTGTGCAATACTTTGGGAAAAGACAGAAGAAAGAAAGTATTTCTGGGCATTATTTCTTAAATGCCTGTATAGAAATCTGACTATATTACAGTAATACAGGTCAACATACAGTAATCAGTGCCTGAAATAGGCACCCCTAAACACCTGCATAACACTTAATACTGCGGCGACATTGGACACTGGCAGTCAGTCAGAGTTGGGGGTGTTGAGAGAAATGTATGTTCATATAATGACGTTATACTAAATGATAAAAGCACATTTATGGTATATAAATGGATCATTTATAGCCTATTTAATAGTTACATTTTACACACATTTTATAACCTTTTAGCAGATAAAACTGATTAAAAAAACAAAGTAAAAACCTCTTTCCTGTCACAAATCTCAGTAAAAAAAAAAAACTAATGGTTTTCATTCTGCCAGATTTTAGTGGGTGCTGCAGCCCCCATACTCTGTCTCTGATTGACTAGCTTTTGTTGCCTTTGTTGGTGGTTTGGTTGTTTAGATTTATGCATGAGGGGGTGAGATGGTTAGGTTTAGAAAAACATGTCAGCGTCAGAGTAGGGGAGTAATACGGCTGGCAAAAAAAATAACACCAGTGTAACTGCATCTCTGTGTAGACACATAGCGTAATGCTAAAATGTTAAAATGGATAAAAAAAACACAAGATTTAGGTTTATGTTGTGGTTAGGATTCTGTTAAATGATGCTACTGGCGCCTATTTTTGGTCCAGTTCAGGCACTGAAGTGTCTTCAGGCAGGATAAACCCTCTGTCATCTCCTCATGATAACAAGAACAAACATTTTATCTGGAACAAATCTGATACAACGTGTTTTTACATAAATCGCTGTACACTCGTCACAAATGCTGTTTACTTCCAGTTAAAAGAAAGCTTGCGCACTACATGGTGGAATTAAAATTCAGCCAATGACTGATGATTCTTTCATTAACAGTAACAGTAATAAGGAGAAGTACTTTTGTGGTTTTATGTGTTCTGAAGGTGAAAGGGAAGTAAAATATAATGGCTCTCCTCTCAGTTTAGGAGTCAGTTTGAAAGTGTAACAGGTTTCTATTCTTTGTGTGATTTTCTTCGTCACACTGTTCAACCACGCCACACCAGTCTCAAATGTCAAATGATGAGGGTAAAGGCCATTACAAGGGCCGAAAAGACTTCCCTCATCACTTTCTTTAATGTAATCATGCTGTACAGGATGCTTGTTTGAGGTCAGAGCTCACAGTGTATTCGAGAAAACATATATACCTATGCAGAACAAACCCTGTGAGGCCCATACCGCTGTTTCCTGTGTGTCTGAATGTGCGTGTGCATGTGTCAAAGTCTACACTTGTCAGAGGAAGCAACAACTCCTGTGCGGTAGTCAAGCATGTTTGTGGGTTGTTGTTGTTGTGATGTGTGTGTGTGTGAAGTTTTTGTATCATCGATTCATATAACAGATTCAAACCTTGACCGCGTTAGAATCTCTCTTCCATGTGTACGTCCTATCACCCACATTCAAGTGTTCTCTCTGTAAGGAAAACCCCTCTGGTACAGAGAAAGTGACACATTTGACATTTTCGTTTGATCTTTCGCTGATTTTCATGAGAAGTTGAAAAAAAAATGGCCTTGTCAGTCGGTTCAACTGACAAGAGAAAAGCAGGAAGAGATAACCCCAAAGAATATGTTTCTGATGAATAACACACATCCACTAAAAGGAGAAATCCAGCTTGCAATGGGCAGCTTTAAAACAAAACTGCCACCCTCCAATGCTTTATGTTATAGTGGTTACTGTAATGAAAGTGAGCGTGTAGGTGTTTGTTTATGCATCCTCAGTCGTCGTCCTGGCAATGATGCTGATGCATGAAAACTTGAAGGCGAGAGAAAAAGTTTCCTCTTCCCACAGCAGAATTTCTTTGTACTTTTCTAAGTGGGCTTTTCAATGGGCTGATGAGCAAAGCAGCGCTGAAGCTCTTCGTGTAAATCTCACACAGCAGCTTGAGCAGAGGGAAAGTTTGTGGCTGCTTCATATTTCATATATTTTAAATATATGCATCTCATACTCAGATCTGGCTTGGTATTGGCAGCTTATAGGAGGAGCAAGGACAACAAGCAAGTGTAATATTCTGACAATATCTCCATTATTAATGTCATACTTAACACCAAACAGCAAATGATTCTCTCTTCTTATCAACTGACCACCGCCGTTATTGATTATTGTGGGTATTTACCCGGCAAGCAGGGGGTCTAATGACAAGATGCTATGGTTGCTTTATGGGAAATGTAGGATCCGTAGCCATACTAGGGCCTAAAAATCCAGATATCTCAGCCTGTTTTGTTTAAAGGTCTCGTGTGTAGCATTTAGTGGCATATAGCACTGTAAATGCAGATTCCTCCTTTTGCTGGGGACCCCACACAACCTGCTCAAGGACCCATGTTGGACCCCAGTTTGAGATTTGAGTCCCCCAGCAGTATGGATGTACATCAATACATTGCCGGTGTATCCCTTCTACTCAACGATCGTCTCCATTAGCAAAAATCTGGACATTTTCTGAAAAACAAGTAGCCTCAAGCACCGATTATTTAAAAAGAATTGAGTCATTAAAATTGTTCTTGGTTATTAGGCTGATAGTTATATAATCATTAACGAGGGTAGGACGCTTTGACACCAAATTACAAACACAAAATATCAAACTTCATATGAATAAAACCAAATGTAATCACCGATGTGTGAGAAAGCCAAAAATAAACCGTCATTCATTCCGGGAATTAATTCTAAAATCAATGTTATTTGTTTTGTTTCTGTTATAAATTACAATCACACCTTTGAAAGAAACGTTATGGTTACAGGCTATAACGCCCTTGGCTGTTGGTTTTGGTCCAAGTATCTGTGCACACCTTTGGCTACATGCCTTCATTATGACCAAATAGTCCTTTTACTTGTTGCCAGAGTCGAGTTGAACCTCATTCCTTTCTTGGTTAAAGGCCCTTCCAGTAAAAACCTCCCATCTCTGAGAAGACCAGTAATGACAAATCTCTGTGAAAATGATTTTCTCCTTATCAGAGGCTTGTTTTTGTTTTTCTATGAATTGAAAAAGACACTGTTGAAACTGAACTAGAGATTTACCACATCAATGGTTCTTTTATGGATTTTGCACACCTTGAAAACATTAATGAAATCCGAGAGCGTGGGTGTATCTGTAACCTGGAATATTCTCTATGTGTGTGTGTGTGTGTGTGTGTTCTCCACAGGTGAAATACGCAAGCAACCCTGCCATTATGGCCAAGGTGATCTCCACCTGCCTCAGGGAAGAGCGCCGTATCCTCTCCAGCGCCTGCACGCAGGAACAGGTTAGTCTCATTGTCTCCCTCAGAGGGAAAGTCCCTCTGGTTCCTTAATAACAGCTGCTGCTGCTGGTAAATTAGAGCTGCTACCAGGAAGACAGTGCTGTATAATGCACACCCCCATATTCCCAAACACTTCTCTTTATTCCCAAGAAACAATGTGGCATGGGAAAATATTATAGAGAGAGACAGTAAAGGCAAGGGAGAGACTGATGCAGGGGTGGCATGACGTATGTATCTCAGCTTTCCAGTCAGTCCCAATTTATGCATTTACAATACAGTGTATAGAACCAGTATGCAGAAATATTCAAATACACTAGGAGAAAATGACACACATGCAAAGAACTGTATGCTTTCTGCCCAGAAACTGCATGTAATTGGCATAAAGTGGGCGTTTCTGCAAAGGGGAGACTTGTAGTCACCCATAGAAACCGTTTTCTTTAAAGGTCAGAGGTGGCCATGCAGATTTCCCATCCCCTAAAAAATAGCCCTAATTTGGGAGCGTTATTTAGCCCCCTTCATATGATACCAGTATCGTCACTCTAGCTTTAAAACAGAGCCTGTAACAGCCTCAGAAAGACAGTGTGGAATGGTAGAGGTAAGGATAATGGGGTGGCAATCAGTACTATCAGAATACAGTCAATGTTTTATCTGGATCATTCAAAAACATGATTAAAAAAACTCAAAAAAGTGATTTAAAGACGACATTTGTCCGACAGGGTCCGCTGGAGAAATCATTGCAGAATTCTGTGGCCTTCGAGCGGCAGAAGAGCATGGAAAACAGAGTTGGGATCATCAGGGGCAGCGTGCAGGTAACTGAAACACGCACTATCAAACATACATGTCATCCTGTTGAAATGAACTTTTGAAAAAACTACGTGTGTCTGTGTCTAGTTGATGGACCAGGCAGTGAAATACATCGAGGACATGCAGGATGACTTTGATTTCCGCTACAAAACCCTACAGTCTCGAGGTGAGCCGAAAAAAAATCTCATGTACATGTACACTTTAAAACAGTGTTAAAAAATTCTGCACAGCATGCAACATACCAACATACTCTCAAAACTCTATGTTTGTGGTTTTATGTATATGTGTGTCAGACTCGACAGATAGGAACTCTGACATAATGAAACAGGAAGTAACAAGACTGCAGGAAATGCTCAACAGGCTCGACTTTAAAAGAAAGGTATGCTCTTGTATCATCATGTCAAAGCTCTAACATGTGACATATAAAGATAGATGCCCAAAGATAGACAAAGATGCTCACGAGTGCTCACAAATAAAAAGACTCATCGTATGATTTACTTTCCATAAACCACCACAGCTGTTTTTCGTACCTTTGTTAGGAGATCCTGTCAAAGATGGATGTTGTGGTCAAGGAGATCGATGACCTGATGACCTCTCAGCTCAGCCCTGAGCTGCAGGACTGGAAGCGCAGGCAGCAGATCGCCGCGATCGGTGGTCCGCAGCTCACCGGCCTGGACCAGCTGCAGAGCTGGTAAAGTTTAGGGAAATCATGACTTGTAGAGCTGCAATGATTAGTTCAAAGTCATATATTTAATGCATAAAAGGAGAAAATGCTGTTTTCAGCCTCTCAAATATGGAGATTTCCTGCTTTTCTTTGTTTTATATCATATTAAAATGGGATATTTTTGGGTTTAAACAAGACATTTAAAGACTTCGCCTTGGACTTTGAGATCATGACAATAATCGTTTTTCAGCCTTACTTTCATTAGTTAAGTTACATAATTAAATATGCTTATGTAGGTAACATACATGTCAAAATCAAAGCGGCAGAGATATTCTGACCTTTGTTCTCTAGTATCACTCAATGATAGATCTAACATTTCACATGATGCAACCAAGAACATGATTTTAATAGACCTTCCCTGCCTGGTAAATGTCACCTAAGGAAAATTAAATTAATATAATAAACCAACAGTTATATTAATTTCCACAGTGACAGGAGACTTTAAACTGTTACCGTAGGTTGGTATACCAATAATGATGATGATTATATTGATCTTTATGAGTAAAATCTGGAAAAAAACTAAAAACAAAGACTGTGTGGGCTGAACTTCAGTAGCTGCATTTACCAAAACAATTATTCCACTCATAACAAGAAGAATCAATCTGACTAAAAATGTCCAATTTAAACAGTTTGATCAGAATGAACTGATTCATTAATAATAAGAAATGTCATCTTGTTTAAAAGAAAAACCCTTTAATTTGTCATGGAAGCATACTGTTCACTGTTCTTACTCAAGTGTATCACTTCCTCATCCTGAGCGCCCCGTACACTTTTCGCCCTTTCTCATCCTTAAACTGGTGACATTTACAAAGTTTGGGGAGAAGATTTTTCTTCTTTTATGTAAGTTCAGTAGCTGTACATTGTGGTAAAGTGGTTGCTTTGGTATAAAGGACAGCAGGAAATCACTAAAGTGCTCACTGTGGATGGGTGGTTTTAGCTAACAGCGTGATTCTATGGATGACATTTGTCTGTTGGTTGGCTCTGACTGAAATATCTCAACAACTTTGGGATGGACGACCATTGATCCACGGTGGATGAATCCATGGATCAATGGCCATCCGTCCCATCAATGTCATTAGTGATCCACAGGTTGACTTCTGTGGTTCTAAATGAAATGTCTCTTCATCAACTGGATCATTAACCTAAATATTTAGTCCATCTTAGGGTGAATTGTGATAATTCTGGAGGTCCCTGAACTTTTTTGACTTATTTCACCTAATTTTTTACCAAACCTTTGTTTTTATCTAACACCATAATCAGGTAAAAATGTAGTTTGCCCACTACTTTGATTTACAACCAAATACTTTCGCAACTAAGCTGTACTTTGAACATTACACCTGCTAAACCTCAGTATGTTAGCATTGTGATTGTGATTATTTTAGCATGCTGATGTTATTGCAAATGATGCCCCATAATAACATAATATTTAAAGGTCATGTGTTGTCCTCCTCTCACCTGTCCTCTCTCAGGTTTACTCTGATAGCCCAGAGTCTCTTCCAGATCAAGCGTCAGCTGGACAAACTGGGGGAGCTGGTTGTGAAGGTCACCTACGAAAGTGACCCAATCCCCCTGCAAAAACCTCAGATGGAGGAGCGAGTCAAATATCTCATCTACCACCTCATCAAGAGGTACTCTGAACGCCACACAACACAACACAGTGCATGAAACACAACCAAAACTATAATACAGTGTAACATAATGCAGGTGTACTTATTCTCTTTTTAATGTTCCTACACCTTGTTTTTAGTAATTAGGTGCTTAAAATATGACTAATGTACTTTTGTTTTGCATTTATAAGTGATTAGGTATAATGGTTGGGAATTAAAAAAGAATAGGTCATGAGTTTTCTTAATAATGAACACATTATCCAGTATGAGGGCAATTGTAGGTTAAAAAAATGAATTATGGAGCCCGAGGAGGAGGGAAGTATTCAGAGAGAAACCTCAAATATTCTCTGAGATTAAAGTGGTAAATTTATGAGAAGAAAGATTGAATATTCTTTGTGATTAGAGTCGGAAATGTGAATATTTTTATTATCACTGCTGTAATTGCTGCTGTACAGTGACAGTGACCATTTTATATTGTTAAATCGTATCAAAATATATTTTAATTATCTTATTATTTTCTCATATTGTTACTATACGGTAGACAATTAACGTCACACATAAATTAGTCTAATTTCAAAACAAAACAGTTTTATTTTACAGATTGTGGAAGACTGAACAACTTCCCCCTAAACACTGACAACACAATCTCAATCACAATCAAGTGGCTCGAATGTCCTGTTACAGGCATGAGCTGTGAAGTGAAATAAACACGGTGAAAACTGCGTAAATCATGAGGTGTGGTTTGTTCTCAGCTCGTTTGTGGTGGAGAAGCAGCCCTGCATGCCCACACATCCGCAGAAACCCCTCATCATCAAGACCGGAGTACAGTTCACCACCAAAGTCAGGTATCATAATGTGACACACTATGTGACATAAATCCTTTCTGACATAGTTTTTTTTTTAGAATTCAGTTATGCATTTTTCTCTTCCTGATTTCTCTCAGACTCCTGGTTAAACTCCCAGAGGTGGATTATCAGCTGAAAGTGAAAACAACATTTGACAAGTGAGATTTTTATGTTTAAATACTTTAATAAAGTGGTTCCCAACCTGGGGGATTTTTTAAAGGGGTTTTTCATTAATTTTAGTGAAGAAAACTAAATGAAATTCTTTGCCTAGATAGTATGTGTGATTGTTAAAAAATAGACAGAATTGTATAAAAAGTTCCTAAAACTATCATGAAAACTCACTTGTAAGTAACATTCACATCAGAATCTGCTCAAAATCCAACCAAATCATTTCCTGGAGTTTTTGCATTCTCTATTTGGGTTAATTGTACAGTTTATCAGGTGCTGTTATTGTTATGCATTGAATATAATCTGAAATATCCATAAGAAATGTCACTTAGTTGGTTTACTCAATGATAGAAAAGGGGTCCATTCAAGAAAAAGGTTGGGAACCACTGCTTTATCCATTTACATTCACATATGTGTTTATATGTATATAACATTTATCTATCTGTAATTACTCTTACATTATTAGATAATTATTCAGATACATTTGTCTGAGTGCTCATCTTTATATATAAATATATGTGTGTTTTTTTGTGTCTCTAGGGACCTCCCCCCTGGCAGAGTGTGAGTACAAACAACCTAAATACAGGATGTACAACTGATTTAATTTTAGCTCTAGTAAAAGCAGTGTAGCAGCAAGTAGCAGCTTTGAGGGACAGTGGCCAACAGACAAATGTCTTTAGGGACATTTTTATACTGTAGGCAGTGCTGCAAAGATCACGTTAATAGTAATAATAATAACTTATATATATTTATATAGCACCTGTAAAAATACTGTAACAAAGTGCTTCACAAGACGAGGACAAATAAAATCAAGCAGAACGTAATCAACAACAAATAAAACACTCATAATAGAACAGTTAAAATCAGCACTTCACTTCTCTCCAAAATGTCTGTATCTCTTTACATTTAGGAGAACTTAGACCAAGCTTGACCCCTCACCAGTGGCGTACAATGACGCATGTGTTATATTAAACAGTTAAAAGTGTGTTTTCTATAATTAATGCTAAGATATTGTCTTCTAAATCAGCCTGCCACTGCTTTCAGATGTGATTTCCTTTATAGTTAATGAAGGTTTTTGAAACTGGACACATAAAACTATTTCAGAAGAATTAATTCACAGCAGCTACAGTTGCAGTCAGCATAGATACAGATTAAATTTGACAAACCCGTGAGGTATCTTTGTTTTACCCTCTTTATTTTACCTCAGAAGTCGTCAATTTTTCATCCTGACCAACAACACTAAAGTTATGGACATCGAGGACTACTCAAACGGCTGCCTCTCAGTGGAGTTTAGACACCTGGTAAGACAACTTTATTCATGTTTAACCAGTCCTCCACTGCTTCATGAAAGCTCATTCTCTTAGCTCTTTGAGTTTATACTTCAAGTCCATACAGTATCAATACACTACATACAGCTCCTCTTAAACTTGGAGATGATATAAAACAGTAACCGGTTTGTCAGATTTCTCCATCTGTTTTTGGTTTTCTCTCAATTCAATTTTAGATGCTTGTTACTATGCACATTCTGACTCTACTTTTGGTAGATATATATATATAACTTATATTTTGATGCTAATTCCTGTATGTACTTTTACTTAAGTGGTATTTTAAACACATGACTTTTACATGTAACAGAGTAAATTTAAACTGTGATATTTGTACTTAAAGCAGCAACAAGAAACTTTTATTTTGTGTTGTATTTTGTGTTCTTGTGGCCCCTGTGGACAAAAGTGCTAGTATTTCTACTGCATTGTTTTATTGATTTCAAGGGGAATCTGACCAAATCTGACCCAGTGGCAAGCATTAAAAGGGTTCCCACAAATCCTGGAAAACCTGGAAATTCAAACACTAGTTTTCCAGTCACTGAAACACCTGCAAATGAATCAAAATGACCAAATATCCTGGAAATAATTTATGTTGTCCTGGATTTTTTAAAACTCTATTTTAGCCCCATTGCTCGTATTTTAGTGAGATAAGTTAAAATAAATGATTTGTTAAAATATCCGATCTTCCCTCTGATGGTCTTGAGTGTTTCTGTAGGTCATAGAGAGGCATCAGTATTAAACTGAGACTGTTTCATAAACCAGTTAAAAAAGTTTGTATCTTACAGCAGCTGAAAGAGAAGAAATATATCAACGGCACAAAGGGAAATGAGGTAAGAAATACAGCAAAGCGGTCTCTTAACACCTACGCTGCACATCTATGCTACTGTAATGATTGATTATGTATTAAAAAATAAGTAAATGTTTCCACTATGTCATCACCAGTGGCTGAAATTTAAATGTGTGTGTTTTGCAGGGTCTACTTTCTGTGACAGAGGAACTTCACTCGCTCAGTTTTGAGGCTTGTTTCACAGTGCAGGGCCTCACCATTGATCTAGAGGTGAGAAGCGGATTTTACTTGACATTTGGGTGTCTGTTGTTGTTGCCACAACTTACTTATTGTGTTTGTGAATTCTTCCAGACGTGTTCTCTTCCTCTGGTGGTCATTTCCAATGTGAGCCAGCTGCCTGGAGGCTGGGCCTCTGTCATGTGGTATAACCTTCTGACTGATGAGCCGAGGGTGAGCTAACACACTGCGACTCAAATCGTTTTAGAGGATGTAGTTTGTGGTACAGTTCAATTGTATTGCATTACATGAAGAGATGTTTTCAATAACCACTTCCACAGCCTCTCTTCCTCCCTCTTATCATTTTCTTCTTCTTTCCTATAATACACAGAACTTGGCGTTCTTTGGGAACCCACCTCGGGCCACCTGGAGCCAGCTCTCTGAGGTCCTCAGCTGGCAGTTCTCCACCTTTGCTGGTCGAGGCCTCAACAAGGAGCAGCTCACCATGCTGGGAGAAAAGCTTCTCGGTATGTTTGTCCTTTAGTCACTGCATGGTGACTGTTAATATTTGGATGACTGAAACAAAAGAAAACACATGTTTGAGGTGGCGTTAAAGGTGTTTGTTACCTTAGAATGAGCCCTTTTTATCTACAGAGGGAGCAGATCCGCCATGTTGAACTGTAATGTTTCTAAAGCAGCCCAGAACGGACAAACATTGGGTCTTGATAGGGCTTTTTTTTTTTTTAAATGTTTTTTGCAAGATTCATGTCTACTCTAGTTTTCATTATTGGAAGGCTGAGCGTTATTCAGTTGGTTGTAAAACCTGATAGGTTAATTTATCTCACAAGTACCACAAACTCAGTTTTGTAAGTTAACAACATTCTTGATTAAGCAGCTTTTACTAGTAATTATAAGTGACACTGAGTTCATTGTGTGATCTTTATTTGTACTGTGAAAATAAAATACCTTGTAAAATGAACTTAATCAGGAATATTTCTGTAACAGACAAAACTAAGCCAGTGTCACTCAGAATATATATATATATATATTTATAGTAAAAGCGCTTCATCAAGAATGTCTTTAACCAAAAAAAACGTACTTAAAATTTACGTTATCTGTTTATGTATTTTAGTTAAAATAATAAAGAATAAAGGATTTTTAAATATTTAGTTTAGCTTAAGAAGTAAGAGACTTTTCTCAATCCATAAATAAACACTTAATCTTCAGTTTATAACAAACATTCCCACACATTCAAAATGAAAAACTGTATTTTGAAAAGTAAGTAAAGCTGTTGTACAAATGTAGAGGAGTAGAAAGTACAATATTTCACCTTGGAGCAAAAATATAAAGTTGCATAAAATAAAGTACCTGAGCAACTGCTGATTTATGAACTGACTTATGAGGTCAAATGAGTCTGGCACTTTACTCAGGGGGCATTTCAACATGATATTCACTGGAAATACAAAGCCACTGGTGAGTACATTGAGTCATTTATGTTATTTACTGTCTGTGTTTGTAGGTCAGCATGCTTCCTGCAATGACTATCAAGTGTCGTGGTCTAAGTTCTCGAAGGTAAGTGTCTCATCTCCAATGTGGTTGTGCCATCTAGTGACCAATGAGAAAGCATGTTTGGTGCCTCCTGCTGTATTGTTGATCCTGGATGTCTTTACATTAATAAAGTAATGTTTAAATGTCAAAACTCAGCACTCATTGTACCTTTTTCCATGTGTCATACATTCTTCAAGGAGAACATCCCAGGGAAGCCCTTTAGTTTCTGGATGTGGTTGGACTCCATCCTGGAGCTCATCAAGAAGCACTTGCTGCCAGTCTGGAATGAGAAGTAAACCACTTTTCTATGTCTCACCCTCAGTAGACTGCTCCTCTTAGGACATTATGATCTCCAGATGAGATTAGTTTGTATTGAGGAAATTAATACACACTCAGGCACTTGAGATTCTCTAAGTTAAGACTTTACTTAACTGGAGAGGATTAATGCAAATTGCGAGCAAATAACCAATGTGCTCCACACAGCAGCACGGACAGCGATTGGTTGTTCAGCTCTGCGAGTCACATTTTGGACAAGAAGAGAAATAGACTGAGCTGCAACGATGCAGAGATGTTTATCTTTGTAGGTTTCTTTGTTTCCCTTTCACAAAAGGGTGAATAAATAAAACAGTATTGGTATCGGCACTGGCTTCTGGAAGAACTCTGTAAATGTCTGTAGGGTTAGGGTCTGTAGGCTGTACGCATAGCTTAGCATAAAGACTGGAAACAGGCAGACAGCTATAGCTCTGTTTGTACATTCTTGCCTGAAGGTGACAGAAGTGTTAAAATTGCGGCACTCCAGGTTTAATAAACTTAAATTATATGTAAAGGGTAACGCAAAAGACAAATTTACACAACTTAATCTGGTCTCAATTTACTACTGATGCCTCTGTATGACCTACATAAGCATACAAGACCTTCAGTGAGAAGATTGGCTATTATAGTGATTCTTAATGCCTGCCACAGGGTCGGATTTAATCAGATTTTCCCTTGAAATCAATGAAACTAGGTGGTGAAATCATTACCGGTTTTGACACCGGGGACGCCAGAATCAACACAAAATGCTTTAATGCTGCTTTAACTTACAGCTTAGCCAATGGTTGTTACTGAACAGTGTGTCAGGTTAATGCAGGGAGCAGGAACAACATTGAGCTCTTCTCTTTTACCTCCACCACCCATGTAGCTACATCATGGGCTTTGTGAGTAAAGAGATGGAGCGCACCCTGCTGAAGGACAGAGAGCCGGGCACGTTCCTCCTACGCTTCAGCGAGAGCCACCTTGGAGGAATCACGTTCACCTGGGTCGAGCACAACGACAACGGTGAGGTCTCCTCCAGACCACTGCCCTACAAAGGCAGACAGCAGGAACAGAACAGAAAAGGCTTTAGTTGAGAGAAAAGGGGATAAATTGACTCCATAAAGTAACAGATTGGATGTAATTCCTTCATATTATGTGTTTTAAAGCAAAAGATAATTAATGTTAAGTCAAAAAACAATCTGGCAGTTACTTCTCCTCCGCTAAGCTGACTGATTTTTAATCTCCGTAACTGAATTTAGCTTCTGTCCTATTTATGTGGGATAATTAACAAAATTACATAGATGTTAGTTCGCATTTAACATTTAAATATTTATCAGTTTATTTGACAGTTAAGGGGCTTTAAGCTGTGGCTATCTCTAGCTAGCTTTAACAGGACTGTTAAGTTTAGTCGTGGTTTGTTTTTACTGCACATTAATATGTTGTTTTCTTTGGAATTATACATTTATAGAAGGTCTTAACTAAATTAGACTAAATATGTGATTATATTTTGGCATTACAGGGTAAAAAACGCTCATTTTTTAATACTTTTATCCTGTTAAATAATAAGGAAAACACATTTTGCTCATAAACATGTATTTTTTACATACTATTCATCCAACTTGTTGTCTTTATTAGATGTGACGCTCTTCTTTTCTAACAGTGTTTTTTTTTTCCCAACAGGAGAGGTGAAGTTCAACTCTGTGGAGCCCTACACTAAAAACCGGCTCAGCGCTCTCCCGTTTGCCGACATCATACGAGACTACAAAGTGATCTCAGACGGGGTCGTCCCGGAGAACCCGCTCAAGTTCCTCTACCCCGACATCCCCAAAGATGAGGCCTTCGGGCGGCTTTACAACAGCCAGCCAAGCAAAGGCAAGAGTGCAAAGCCTTTTCTTCATTTAGAGTTCATGTTTTTCAGTGCTTGTGTTGAATCAACACTAATTTTTCTCTCATATTGCTGTTACATTTTCAGTCCATCCATACATAGCATCTACCCTGATCCCCATCTCAGAATTGCCGTGAGTTCAATTTAAGAACCCTACTTAACGTTCTTGGTATTAAAGTGCATTTTTTAAAGCCTTTTTTGACATTTAATTATTGAATTGTGACACGAGACATCAGACATATATCTACAAAACAGTACATAACACTTACATATAAATTTCCATTGAAACTTATCTCCCCTTTCTCTGTTATACCAGCAATAATACAAGCAGCACATCACCTTCTTGTCAGTCTCCTGAGCCACCAATGACTCCTGGAGAGTTTGACATGCTCAGCGAGCAGCTCTGCTTTGACATCGACAGCGTAAGTTTGCACATATTGCACACAATTTGGTGGACTGTCACACCATTTCTGGTGTCACAATACCAGAAATTTAGTAGTAAAGTAGTACCAATAGCAGTGCAATTCCACTTTTGTTGTAAATCCTGACAAATGTGTCATTTTATTGAGGTAGCGGTGCGTTTCACCAGTCACCTCTCAATGGTGTCATATCCCTTTTGCCCATTTGTCAGCATTGTTGTCTGCCAGAAGCTGTTTAATCCAGTTTGAAGACACATTTCTATGATATACTTTATAGATCTCAGTCGTTTTTAACTCTATATATTAACCATGATGGATTTTAGTCAATTTTTTGATCCTCCAGAATGTAATTCGTCCACAGAACAGCTGATTTTTAAGATGGAACTGCTTTATTCAGTCGGACAAAACAAAAGTCACCGAGCTGGAAGACAAATTAACAGAGAACATAAATACATTAAAACAACAGTAATAGTAAGTTATGTTAACATAACTTACCACTTATGTTACCACATTAGCATTAATAACTGCACAATAGTATATTAGAAGTATTATGTTAGTATTAACTATTTGCTGCATTAGTAAAAGCCTGCTGCTCACGTTTTTCTCCTTTTTGTTTTACAGATGAGTTCTCCATATTCTGAGTAAAGCAAGATGATACACGCAACTTATTTTCACGCTGGCCCGATGCCACTTTCTGATCTACATCCCGATTACAATGAAGCAGATTCTGCTGTGTTTAAAGATGGTTTTGTGGTTATATCGGATTCATTGCCCGACCTGTTGTTTATTGTTTTATGTTTTATATATTCAGAATTGATCTAAAAAGAATGTGTCTGTTTTTATTGTTGCTTTTGAGTTACTTATATTTTAACTGACTGGTTTTCTGTAAAGCCAGTATTGTATATAAAACGATTTAAACATACAGACTGCAGTGTTGACATTGCTACTTCATTTCCGCATCGGTGACAGCACCGTCTCTGCTGCCTTGTAGTTACGGAAAACAGTTGAAGTTGCATGGTGGTTACGCAATTCAACCTGTGTTGCATGACTCACCCACATCATCACACATTAAACCATTCAAGTTTAGCTCTAGAGCTTTTATTTTGGCAGCAGTGGGAAGTAAAGGCCTGCAATACTACCTGCTTGATACATGCGCTTACTGTATTTATCGAGAATCACGTGATTCCTGGAGAGTTCAGTCTGAGTGGGTGGATGTGTTTATGTGTTTTCAAGTCACTGACCTTGAATAACTTTCCAAATGTACACTATGCCATTTATTAAAACAGCATTTTATCATTTATTATCCGTCCCAGCAATCAGTGGGTTCTGCACTTATTGCCCCCCTGGTCCTCACAAGGCCTTTGACACCTCTCTTTGTATACACGGTGGGGATGGGAGCGGGGAGGGTGGCTTCTGTTGAGGAAACTCTGCCCAGACCGCATGACGTCAGGGGGCAGGTCGAAGAAGGAAATGTGTCAAAAACACCAAATTTAAAGGAGAAAAACAATGCAGAAGTGAACAGTTGGCAGTTCAGCTTCAGGAAGACTGAGTCAGTAAGTAGTTGGATTTAGCTGCTTTAGCTGCTGGCTCTCATGCAGCATACAGACATGAAAGTGGCATCAACCTTCTCATGTAACTCTCAGCACATTTCTTTTAAAATGTAGCACCAAATAAATTACTAAATGATACTTCTACATGATGAGTTTGGAGTCTGGTTAGCAACATGTGTGCCAGAATGAGATAATAAGTAATGTTAAATCTGCATGATATTGTCAAATACCAGAATCCACCAATATGGGATTTTTGAGACCGGTACCGATTTTAGACAGGGGAAAATTCACTTTTTTCTGCATTATATACCAGAAAAAACTAAGTTTTCATATTGTTGACAATACAATACTGATATATCTGCTGTAGGCCAATATCAGCAGATAATCTGCTGACGGATATATCAGTCGGGCTCTACAAATTATTACCAATATTACCTGAATGTGTTTTAAAAGAACCAATACAACAATGTAAAATGCGTTATGTGATAATAATACATATTAGATTGTTAATACTGATGCCTTAAAGTGTAAGCAGCACACAGCAAGTCCCTCAAAACAGCTGAGTAAATATACTTTGTGTACAGTTAATGTATTTTGTGTACAGTTGTACACAAAGTGAAAAAGGTCTATGAACAGACTGTTTTAAAGGGTTAAAGCATTTTGTTATGATAATTTAACAGAACATGCACATGAACAGTATGTGCACACACACACACACACACACACACACACTGATCATGCCATTGTTACAATATACAATAAAAACAAGCAAAATGCAAACATATACACATGTTAACATATAGATATTAAGAAAGAGTGGTGATCAATAATGTCTCATCAGCTCTTCTTATTCTTAAATCCTTCAATATAATCCGACAGGATCCGGAACAGAAGAGTCCGGATGCAGCCGACGAGCTCTTATAAAACCAACAGAGCTTCTCTCATAAAAAGATTTATCTTGTTTAGTTGTTTTTTAAACCGGAAACCCAAACTGGGCAACCACTGGCTGACTTGACACCGTTTGTCGAGCCCATTTCTCGAGAATCATGTGGTGTGTGTGGGAGTGCCCGGGGACTATAACACACCCCTCCTTCCTCCTCCAGTCAGACCCACGCAAACAGTCAGACTGCTTTCATACATACACTGCTCCCCTCATCGATCAACAGCAAACAACAACAACCACATGGTAGGTTCAGTCTTTTGGTTTTCTGTAGGAATATGTAGAATACAATAACACTTATATTGTGTTTTTTTATGGGAACTTTGTCCTTTTAAGGCGCATAAGCAGTTGTAACCCTCTTGGCGAGGCAGACTTTTAGGATGCAGGGTTATGTAGTTTTTCAGACCGGTCACTTGTTCTTGCAGATGGCCCAGTGGCAGGAACTGCTGAGGCTGGATTCAGCGCTCCAGTGCCGGGTGAGCCAGCTGTATGAGGGGAAACTTCCCAGAGAGATCCGCCACTATCTGTGCGTCGCGATAGAGAGCCAGGACTGGTAAGAGAGACCTCTATTCAGACTGCACAAGGACAGCATGTATAAAGGTTACTATGCACGAAACGCGAACTCAAATCCCGCAAAAGTCGGGATTTTTGGATAAAATACGCACGCTCTCACCAATGCGTAGAGCTCCCGGGAAACAGCGATGTCAGATGGTGAGATGATGAAATAAAGCTCAGTACTCAGATGCAATACTGAAATGCAGTGATATTGTGCGTATCTCTTAATGTGGATATAGCTGTTATTATTGCCACTGAAAGCTAAACAACTAAAACTGGGTCCTGGCCGACATGTGCGCACTGGAGACGCGGTTCGGCACTGGCGCAAAATAGAGTTGGTATACCAGGAGCACAGGAAGTAGAGCTGCAGACCCACTAAAATCTGTCATAATGAAACCTGTCAGTTTATAGATCTATATGACTTGCTCCTTTCATACTGCGGTTTTTCAATATGTACACTGTTATTTATGCAAAGAAAATGTTTTTTTTTATTGGTTTTTCTGCTAAAATGTCATAAAATGTGTGTAAAATGTTGTTAATAACTCTTAAACAGGCTATAAATTATCCCTGCCATTCAAATTAATCCAAAAACAATGAATGTTGTGCATTAAGCATTCACTATGCCATTCATGTCATTATATAGAGACATTTTCTCTGAGCACCCTCAACTCTGACTCACTACCAGTGTCCACGGTGTTTACTGTATGTGTATGTGTTGGTATCAGAGCTTTGTTGGTTTCTGTGGCAACCATAGCTGCTTCAGTGCCCCACCCACCCCACTCTACCTCTGGCACAACTCCAGACAGTTTCCCTGATGATGGCAATTAGTTGTTTTCACCTCAACTTTCACATCAACAAAACGTTTTAAAAAAGGCTACGACAGTTTCACTTTAAGAAATATGACACCGGCGTATTAAAACGTGACTCAGTAAAAACACATAACTACAGAAACACAAGATAAACAGTGTGATATCTCCACAGTCTTTACAGTCAGTTCAGTATCAATATAACTCATTAAGGTTTCATAGATCTTGCGTAAGCAGATTCAGAGGCTTGTGAGTTTACCGTGTTTTAAGATGGAATCTGGCCTCTGATTATTAGGGTGTGGTGGAGGAAGTTATTCCGATACTTCACTTAAAGCTGCAGTAGGAAACCTTTACTGACGGTAGTACATGAGACAAGTGTCCCACTTTATGGGCCTTAGCTGTGGTTTGATTGGCTCTAGTTTTCAAATGTCAAATCACTGCAGTGAAAGAAGCAAGGGAAGGTTGTCATCATGGGGCTGTGATGTCGGATGTCTTTGCTACGGCTAACAAGGATAACTGTAGAGTTACCACAAATTCACAAGCTGTGCAGATTTAGGTGGAATATGATGGAAACTACCACGAACAAAAGGAAATGCAGCTAAAACAAAGACTGGGAAACCACCTATAAGTCTGTGGAAGGCGACTATTGCAGACTATTAATAGCATAAGACCATAAGAACTGTGAAGCTTCCTTTTATGCCTAATGTATTTACATGATATGGGAGTTTGAAGAGTTGCATATAAATAAAATACATTTATCGAGTCCTTCACAAAGTCTAAAGGCCTAAGCTGTTACGATTACCTCACATTGTGCCACACAAACGTACTCTGGTCACATTATCTGTGACACCAGGGGATGACACACAACTCTTTTACTCAGCTCTGATTGGTTGTTTTCATATACTACTGTCAGGATATAGTGAAAGTTTCAGCAATTATCACAAAAAGTGTTGTTGTTTTTTAAATAAACGTTGCCGCTTTAAAGGCAAAAATGGAATATAATATGCTTAGGTATGTTTTCATTAGTGTAAAATCACCTCAAGATAGGAAGGTCTTTGTTACCTTAGCCGTTTTTTTATCTTCCAGATGCTACAGGTTGCCTTCCATGGAGTCTGCCATTTTAAAACGCCATGTTTCTACTACAGTAGCGAATTTTGCAGCCACCTTCATTTTTTCTACTCACTTCTCAGCGTCTCATTTCCATGTCGTTAAATCTGCTGTTTATATTATCAATTAATTGATTGTTTGGTTTGTACAAATTCTGAAAAATACTGAAAAATGCTGTCAAGCAATAGTACAAACCTTTAAATGATTAAAAATACATTAAAATTATATACATAATTAAAAGGAAAAGCTGCTGATGGAATTATTTTATACAGATTGTGCCCTCATTCCGGCGTAGACAGACACTGAATGACTGAATGTAAGTCTCCTGTTGCTCTTTGTCAGGGATTCGGCAGCTGAGAATGACAATAAAGCAAGAACCTGTTTCCATGCACTCCTCGAGTATTTGGAAGAACAATGGAACCGTTCTATCCAGGAGAACAACATTTTGCAGGGACCTGATTTTCCAGGGATCAGAGACTACTTGCTGGTAGGGCAGATGTGCTGTTATGTGAACAGTACATTTAATTTAAATTGTTTTTTTATATAAATATAATATTACAGCCTCTTATTACTTTTGTGATTGTTTTTTTTTTCACTTAGAAACACTTTCAAGCTCAGCCACTATACTTGGCCGTAATCCTGTCTATATGCCTAAAGGAGGAAAAGAAAATCCTGGCTACAGCTTCTGAAGCACAGGTAAGGTGATATCAGCTGTAACCTTAAAACTCCAAAAAACTGACCCAGGTACCAGAACACTTTTGTTTTATTCTTGCTCTCTTTTTTTGCCACAATGAACTTCATATTTCAGTTTGATCAAGTGCTACACAGATGAATATGATGTTTTAACTCTTTAATGCTGTGCTGTGTTTAGCACAGTAATCTTACATTTATTTTATATCAAAAGAGTGAAAGAATAATGTATTTGTTTTTGTCAGGGTTGCGGCAATCCAGTCTTGGATCAAAAATGGAGAATGTTGGACAACAAAGTCAATGAAATGAAAAGGAGGACTTCGGTAAATGTAGTTTTTGACTACACACTTATTTGCTGGTTTGTATTCCTACCTGACAGCCAACGTGGGAAATACACAGTATATCTTTTTCTTAATATGTGAACTCTATTACAGGACTTAAAGAAGGAAATAAAGTCAGTGGAGGAGCAAAACGAAAAGCTAGAATTCCTACAGGAGACCTGGCAAATCCAAGGTATGGTAGGAGGCATAAAGACTGAACTGAAGAGTTCATGAATCACTTATGTCTCATATTATGTCTGATATTTGTGCTTAACAGTGGAGGAGCATGTTGGATTGGCTCAGTCCCAGGCTGTTGTGAAAGAGAAATGTCTTAAGCAGGCCAACATTATCACACAAACAAAGAAGGTACTGCACTCCACTAGACTCTACTACAGTTGCTTTTCATGATTCAGTCCTCAAAAACATCCATATTTATCTTATTGGGGCCCTTTATTCAGCCCTTAGTTCAGTGGTTCCTAACTTGGGGGTTGGGACTCCACCCTAGGGGTTGCCAAAGCTTCATGGGGCCTTCTTGATTTTAAGGGGTGTAAGGACATTTTGAAAATATACACAGTAGGCCTATATCTCAGCATTTGGTTCACTTATGTGAAGAAAAATAAATGGAAAGTAAAGTAAATTGTATAATAGAATGGTAAAGCAGCAAGAACAAGAGAACACTGAAGTTGTAAGCCTATTAAGTAATTAAAAAAGACAGAAAAATAGGAAATAATCTGCTCAAAA